ACACACACACACACACACACACACACACACACACACACACACACACGCGCGCGCGCGCGCGCACACACACACACACACACACACACACACACACACACACACACACACACACATATATATATATATATCATTTATACAACCTCAAGTTTTATAAAAATATTTAGTATTAAAACATTTTTTAAAATAGTAGGTACATGCAGAGTATAATCATTTTAAAAATAAATTAACAGGCTCGGTAAAACTCAATAGAAACATTGGCCATAATGTGTGCAACAAATGGAATTTTAAGAATTTACATTAATTAACAACAATTTAACGGGACATTATATTAGCTACATTTCTTGAAAATATCTCAGAATGTAGAAAAATTATATACAATCTACAATTTTATAATCTTTTTGTTTTTTATTTATTGAAATTTTCAACTGAATAAAATAAATACAATCAGTAAATATACACAAATTAGAAATGATATATGGTCGAGGGGCAAAAAATTACCCAAAGTTGGCGCTGCCTAAATAATTCTAGGTGAGAAGATCACGAGGCCATCTTCTTTGTAGACGCCTAGGAGGATTATCAGGAACCGAAGAAGTAGCAAGGCTAGAAACAATCGGATTCGGATGGGACTGGATATAATCATGGAAGGATAGATATGGAACATTAAGGTCTTTTTGAATGGTTTTATTTAAGCCAAAATATGGAGCATTAAGGATTTTATGAAGGATTTCTGATTGTAAGGATTGAATATGAAATAAATTTGATGGAGCCCTAAGTTCAACTCCATATGTCCATATAGATCTTATTATTGTCATTTAGATGAGTATTTTGTAATTAAATTTAAGTTCAGAGTGTTTTTTCCAGCAAGTGTTGGAGCAGTCGGATAAATTTCAAAATCAAATGTAACCTTGTTAATATTTCTTTCTTAAACAATTAAAATATGGTTGAATTTCTTATTTCTGATAGATTCTAGAACGAATAATTCACTATTTTTATTAATAATTAATATTACAAAAATCAATATAATAATACTAAAATACAAAAATACATATTATACTAAAATCCATAGCTGGGCAGTCGAATATCCAGTGATAGAGAGCGGCCATTTTCATTTTATTTCACAAATTTTTTTTTTTTATTTATTTATTAATGATATTTACAACTGTATTACAAGTAAAAATACATTCGGTAAATGTGTACAATAGAATATAATAACATGAAATCATTTGGTGAGAAACTACCCACTGGTAGCACTCTAAAAATGTATTTACAAAAGGAGATCTCGAGGCCATCTTCTTTTCAGACGCCTCGGAGGGTTGTCAGGTATCGAAAAGGAAGCAAGGTTAGAAACGAGAGGGTTAGGATGGTTCTGAAGTTTATTATGGAAGGAAAGGTATCTGGATTGGGCCAGGTCAGAAACATAAGGAACATTAAGGTCGTTATGGATGATTTTGTTTGTGACAAAGTAAGGAGCTGTGAGGATTTTACGAAGGATTTTGGATTGTAAGGATTGGATGCGAGAGGAATTCGATGGCTTAGTGGAGCCCCAGAGCTCAATTCCGTAAGTCCAAATAGGTCTTATTGTAGTCATGTATATGAGTCTTTTGTAATTGACTGGGAGCTTAGAGCGTTTGTCTAGTAAGTGCTGGAGTAGTCGGAAACGTCGAGCTGTTTCTTGTCGTTTCAGTCTGGTATGAGGATTCCAAGTTAGACGTCTGTCTAAGTGGAGTCCAAGGTATCGAATTTGTTCAACAGGGATAAGTGGGGTATTATTAAAGGATACTGTAGGACAAGAGGACATAGGTTTACGACGAAGGGTAAACGTGATTTGATGGGATTTATTGGAATTTATTTTGATCCTCCAGTTTTGAAACCATTCTTCAAGGTTTGTGATGTGTGATTGAAGGGTTTGGGATGCAATTGTTGGGTCGTTATTAATTGATAGGACACATGTATCATCGGCATACGTGGTAATAACAGTGTTAGGATGGGTTGGGATATCAGCTGTATAAACTGTGTAAAGGATAGGACCTAGGATACTACCTTGAGGAACACCAGCGGACTGGGAAAAAAGGGATGAATAGGCATTATTATGATTTACTTTGAAGGATCTATCAGTTAGATAGGAACGGATAATGAGGAAGTATGTAGGGTGTAGGAATTTACGGAGTTTGTAAAGCAGTCCTGGGTGCCAGACTCGATCAAAAGCCTGTTCTACATCGAGAAAGACTCCCGTGCAGTACATTCCGCGCTCCAATGCAGAGGAGACAACATCCACCACACGATGGCATTGCTGGATAGTGGAATGGGATCTGCGGAATCCAAATTGATGATCTGGGATAATGTGATTAGAATCTAGGATGGGGTGCAGGCGTTTTAGGATGAGCTTTTCCAGGATTTTGCCTAGGATGGGTAAAAGGGAGATAGGGCGATAAGAGGATGGGTTTTCTGGTGGCTTTTTGGGTTTATGTATCATTTTGATAATAGATAATTTCCAAGGGTTAGGAAAGTATGTGGTTCGCAGAACAGCATTATATATATACGTAAGGAATAGGATGGCTTTCCGAGGAAGCAGTTTTAGGATCTGGGATGTAATTAGGTCGTGTCCAGGAGCTTTTCGGGAAGGTAACCTTTGAATGATGTCGGATATTTCTGAAGGATGAAAGGCTTTAGGTGGAAGAGACATTTGGAGTGGGATATCCAGTTCTGCTTCAATACATTCAAGGTGATTTGGGTTATGAATATCAGGGTGTGGATTAAAGGTTTTAAAGAGGTGATGAGCAAAGATTTGTGATTTTTCTTCATCGGATTTGGACCAGGTTTGAGCTTCAGTAAGAAGTGGATGATTACAGTCTTTAAATTTCAGGAGCCTTTTAGTGGTCGTCCATAGTGATTTGTCGGTAGGTGTAAGTTTTTCAGTAAAGTTTAGTAAATTTTGAATCTTGTATTTTCTAATTTCAGATTTTAGTTTGTTAGTCAGTTGGGTATAGTGAGTTTTATCTGTTGGATATCTGGTTCTATGCCACTTCGATCTTGCTCTGCGTTTTTCCTTCAATAAGATACGAATATGCTGTGGCAAGTCAGTCTTTTGTGAATTGTTGAACTTATTGATAAAAGTGTTATTATTTATACTGTCTGTTATTGATGCTGTCAGTTTTTCAATGGCACCATTAATGTCCTCTTTTGTCTTTAGCGGAATTTTTAAGTCTAGTTTGTTTTCCAAATCTTCACGAAATTGGTCCCAGTTCACTCGTCCTGTGATCAATTTAGGAGGTGATGGTTTAGGAGCATAGCTCGAATGTAGTGAAAGTAGAACTGGACTATGGTCTGAAGAAAGGTCATCAAGGGATTTGATTATGGTTTGTGAGGAGGAGATCTGAGAAGTTATAAATATATCTAGGATATCGGGACGTTTTTTGAGGGATGTTGGCCAATAAGTAGGACTCATGGGCGAAAGGATTGAATAATTGTTGGAAGATGAAACACGTGATAGGATGTTACCGCGGGGGTTGGATGTTCGACAACCCCATCGTTGGTGTTTAGCATTGTAGTCCCCTCCAGCAATGAAGCGCGATCCGAGGGATTTGAATAAGGAATCAAGGAGGTTATAGGAGAGGGAATTACCAGGAGGACAGTATACAGCTGAGAATGTGAGATGGAAAGGGCGAGTTGAAAGGACTACGGAAGTTGATTGAATGGCATCAGTTGGAGTGGAAGGAATAAGGGAATGGGGTAATGATTTATGTATAAGGATGCAAGAACCGGCATGGGAGGTGTTGTCTGGGTGATCAGTTCTATAAGTGAAGTAGTCACGTATGTAGAAATGTATTCGTTTAGTGAAGTGAGTTTCAGTCAATAGAGCAATGTCAATGTGATTATTATGAAGAAATAAGTCAAGTTCGTCACGGTGGTTACTTAGTCCGTTAGCATTCCATAAAAGGATAGTTAGGGGCTTTGTGCTCATCGTTGGAAATTGAACGGAATTTCGGTCAGGATTCTGGTGAGAAGAGTGATAAGTGGTTTTATAGTATTTTGCAGGTCCAATAGGAAGGATGATAGAATGGAGGTTAGGTCGGATGGATGTTGATTGTGAATTGGATTCAGGATAGGTTCTTGTGGTGGATTAGGAGTGTTAGCTGAGGGCGGGATCCGTCGTTGTGCACGAGGTGGGTCTAGATTGGAAGGTACTTGTGCTGCACTTTTTTTCTGGGCGTTAGGATGGGACTGTTGAGGATGCTGCGGTGGTAATTTGACTCGTAAGGGTATATGATGAGGGAGAATTTGCTGACGTGGAGGATGAGATTGGGGATTGTGAGATTGAGGTTTGCATTGGGAGATTTGAGGCGCCTGAATTTGAGGCTGCTGCTTCTTCATGGTGATTGGTGTTTTTCTAAAGTCCTGCTGAGGTTGATCAATTTCTTTTGAAGTAGTCGCTAGCTGTGTATTTTGAGTAGACGTTTTTGGCAATTCAGGAAAATTTGACAGATTATCAATTTCAGGTAGATGGGTGACACTTTCTTGGTTCAGTTTTACGCTTTTCGAGGCAATGTTCTGAGCTCTCTGCTTATAAAAATGTTTATAAACTTTGCATCCTCTGTAGTTTGCTGGATGTTCTTCACCACAAAGGGCACATTTCGCAGGCAGGTCTCGAGAACTACTCACTACTTATCGTCAAGAGAACTACTTAACTCATTAAAATTTTATAGTTTTTAATGCTTCAATCATAAACATAAAATTTTAAAATTAAAAAAAAAATCGTCCACTTAATAACCTAACACGTGCAAGATACCGTTACATGTTTGAGGTGCTTTTGGATCCCTATCTGATTTTCATCAATTCTTGAGTAGCTGATAAAAATATGCAATAGCACGGTAATCATTTATCTCTTAATGAATATATAAAAACAATTTTTAAATATATAAATGATTATCAGAAGATAAAAATTTACGAAATCACATTGATTTATAAACATTTTCTTTAGATTAGATAGGTAGATATTGGTGGTAGATCATAGTAGTTAGGTACTGTCTCCAAAATCGGGTGCAACTTGACGATACTTTTTTGAAGTCATCCAAGGATAAGGTATGAATCAAAACTTATTTAAAACTATTGCTTTCATTAAATAAAATATAAACGTTTACAGTTTTTTTAAGTTTCGGTGCTTGTATCATTATTTCAATTTATATTTAATCGTTTGGTATTATTGAATTTATTTTAGTAATAAATTTGTCGCATGACTTTGAAGTACGAATGATTTTTCCATTTTTTAATTATATATATTCAAATATTTGAAGTGAAAACGTTGCAGAAATTTCAAATGAAATATATACATATATTTAGACGAGTATTATTTTCAACTAACAATAAACCAAGAGACCAATCCGTTGTAGTGACGGACGTTTTTTGTTCTCTGAATAATGCTAACTTATTATTCATATTTCACTATTTTGTTATCCACTTCAATCTTTACTCTGTATTGTTAACGTCAAGAGGCGTTGTATAGTCTCTCTAAAGCTGAGTATATCTGGGAAATCGTTCTAATATTGGACTTCTTCGATGATGTTTTGAATTTTTTTTTGCGGTAATTTAAATAATTTAACATTCCATATTTCTTTTTTTTCTATTTAATGTTATTTTTATTTTCGAAAATGGCAAAATAACATATTTTTGATCGACAAAGAATTATAATTTTCTATCAACCAGGAATTACAATTAGGGAAATTTATAAAGAACTAGACAAATCTATTTTTGGAAATAGATTATGTCATCAAAATGTTTTTTAAAACCAACCTTTCTAGGGCATTGAAACGTTCGGAACGGTCTAAAAACCATAGTCATTTAGCTGACCAACGTTTAAAATGATTGCGTTTGCGTAATAGCTATAGATCTATCAGAACTACAAGGACCAAAGAGTTTTCCTCCTTGGTCAAAATGAAACTCCTATAATTTGGGCTTAAAGATTGTGTTGCCAGATGAAAGCCATTTTTCTATCTCTAAGCAAGCGAAAGAGACTTTTCTACTTTGCCAAAAAGCACAAAAATGGAACGAAAAAGACATAAAACAAATTTCTATTGAAAGATAAGTTAAAATTTGATTTGTTTGGTTTTGGAAGAAGGCAGTATGTTGGAAAAGATCTGGAGTGAAATTTTCTAATAAATGTTTGCGATCAACAGTGAAACACATAATTGGTTAATTAATTATTTAGTGATGTGTTTCTAGATCTGGAGTTAGATACCTAACTGGGAATAGAATTAAAACTGGTTGCAAAACGGTACAATATCATCCTTAAATATCATCTGTCCATTAGCTGTTTAAGAATAAATTTATTATTCAGCAAGATACCGATAGAAACGTGTTATTTTACCATTTTTGAAAATAAAAGCAACATAAATGAGCAAAAAATATATGGAATGTTACATTAAATTACCGAAAATACGAATAATTCCCATATTACAACACTTAATTCAGGTACACACAGATTTCTAAAGTTTGTACAATGTCTCTTGTTGTTAACAATGAAGATCAAATATTGAAATGGAACAAAGTAGCGAAGAATGAACAATAATATAAGACTTTTTCACACCACTGTGTATTAGAATATTAATAAGCAATACTTGATTACTTTTCATGATATAAGTAATTACAGAGGAAAAAATAATAAATACTGTCAGCATAAGGCATACTCTGAGGACTTGATAAAATATTTACCCAACATTAGCCAAGTACAAAAAAAAAAAAAAATGTGGCTTGTTTTCTGATTACAAAAAATAGTCAGCCAAAATCAACCAAGTATTTTTTATCGTTCAAATTTCATTATTACCAGGACTAACTTTTTTTATTCAAATTTTGTTCAATATGTCCGTTATCTATTTTTTTTTCTAACTCGACAAAATGTTTATTTAATTAAATTACATATATAATTATAACAATACAAATATATACAAATAACAAAGTCCTTCCACTGCATGGTCGGTTATCGGATTATTATAAACCATTCGACGGTTACGTTAAAAATTGACTTCCAATAGCATTATTAAAAATTTGGATATTTCAAAGTTCTACATTTGTAAATTTATAAAACTGCGCCTCTGATGGCGCAAACACCGTCACTATCAAGTGAATCTAAATTTAATAGTATGTGTTTAGAAGTTTTTATTTTATTTTGTTTATTTATTTTTTATTTTATTTATTTATTTTATTTTTTCTATTGATTTACATTTTTTATAAGTATTATTTATTTACTTTTTATATTTATAGTTACTTCTGTATTATTTGTATATATTGTATGAATGAGAACTTTTAGCCTTAATACTTATAGCCCTCCAACAGTGGCTGATTGTATTATTATTCAATAAAAAAAAATAAATAAAAAAAAAATTAATTGTAAACCAATAAACAGTGAGAAAGTAACATTAAACCTAATGTGATTAATAAAACACGGATAACTCTATATTAAATTATATACTATACATTATATACATAATAATGGATCTTTATATTGAAATAGGACAAATTTTAATTCGATCGACGAGCTTCCGATCTTAAAATCAGCAGTATTTTCGAAATTATACTGGGGAAAGAAAATGATAATGGATCCTAATCTGGATAAAATAAGGACATTTACGCAATATTTTCTGGATACATCATAAATATAATCTTATATTACATGATACAAAATTTAATATTTTATGATGGTCAAAATCAGAAAATATTTTGATTTTGAAATAGTTTATAATTTTTATCTAAGACAGTCGATAATGTTACTTTCAACGTTTCTGAACAAAAAAAAAAATATATATATATATTAATGTAAGTAAGATATTTAATTCACTACTGTAATATATTATTTATATAATATTTAATTAGCTTGATTGTTTTCAGATCATAATACATAAAAGAACATGGTGCTCTGGCTTTGTTTTCTGATTACCGTAACGGTAGCTGAATCCGCAAGGATTCTTGCATTCTTCCCTATGCCTATACCTTCGCACCATTTCATCTTCCGGCCTGTGATAGAGGGATTGTCCAAAAACGGTCATGATATTGTCTACGTATCTGCCTTCCCTTACGAGGAAATACCGAAGAACATTACTCAAATCGACTTGTCGAAGTACGACATAATGGAAGAATACAGTACGTATAGAAGTTTTGAAGCCAACCGAAATGATTACAATTTTTGTTTTCCATTATACAATCAATCATGATCCGATAGAGTATATTGGGTTGGCAAATAAGTCCTTTCGGTTTTTCTGTTTATTTTTATGTCAATATGATGCACTTCTTCTCTGATGAAATAATCTCTAAGGTTGACTGTTTATCATGTTTGTAATATGTCTTCAACTATATCTGTTAACTCTTGTTGAAACTAGCTTAGTATTGTGTTTGCTATTGCACTGTGAATATAGAAGAAAATATCATTCATTATCGTCATATATTGTTGTATTCTTTTCAGCGTGCTGCAGAAACTATTGTGATGATGCCTTAACCGAACGCAGCTGTCTAAATTGGTTTGCTTGTCAGGAAATTTTGACATCAATGATACTCAACGGTCTGATCATCCACATGAAATTGAAATGAGCAATGTTATGGCCATTGTTGATCAAAGTCTCATCCAAACAGTGCGAGAGATTGCTATGGCCCTAAATGTGTCACAAAATAGCGCAGAAAACCATTTGCTCAAGCTTGGCTATGTTTCCAGGCTTAACGTTTGGGTCCCTCACTATCTAACCGAAGTCAACTACGGAAACGGCAAGAAAACGACCCATTTTTGAAAAGGTTGGTAACAGGAGATGAAAAATGGATATTTTACGATAATTTAGTCCGTAGAAAATCTTCACTACCTAGTATTGAGGCTCCTAGAAGAATGTCAAAACTCGGATTGCATCCAAAGAAGATAATGCTTTCCATATGGTGGGATTTAAAGGGTTATTTTCTATGAGCTATTGCCGAGACAAACAACTGATTAAACTCTATACTTCTCACAATTAGCAAAATTGGATCAATCAATTAAAAATAAACGCCTAGAACTGACAAATCGTAAGGATGTTGTGTTCCACCAAGACAACGCTAGGCCTCACACCTCATTGGTCACTTGCAACAAATTATTGAGCCTTGAATTGGGACTTTTGCCCCACCCTCCCAATTCACCAGACCTACCTCCAAGTGACTACCACTTATACCGGTCTCTGTAGAACTCGGTGAATGGAAAAAAAATTCTAAAAGGTAGAGGACATTAAAAACTACTTGGATCAGTTTTTTAATAATAAACTCCCGACATTCTAGGTTGCATTATGCAGTTAGTGTAAAGATGGGAAAAAGTCATATTAAATAAAGGCCAATATATTGTAGATTAAAATAAATTATATGTCTATAGTGCATTGAGTTTTATTTCATGCTGAAAGACCGAAAGGACGTATTTGCCAACCCAATATATACTTTCAATTGAATAACAGAAATGTACTTTTTTGCATTGAGGTATAGCTTCAAATCAATATTATTCGCAGTAGCATTAATCAGTTGTTTTCATCTTTGGTTGTTACTAAAAATTCATTGAGTAATATTTTATAAAATCAAACCAGTAAATACTCTAATGAATTTAGTCTCTATGAATTCAACACCCAATTATCCAAAATCCAAACATTGTACACTTACTGTTTTTGTATCGGTGAATAATGTTGAAGTTACATTTACAAATCTAGACATTTAACTACATCAAAAATTACACAATGAAATTTTGCAATAAACTAACGTTATAGAAACAAATTGATTTTATGTAAGTGGCATCAATAGAATAAATATGAAATCCCTATGTTTCAATAGTAACAATTTCTTTGCCTTGCCTATTTTATAGAAAGCTATGGTGACTTGAAAGTCCACGAAATGGGTCTTCTGGAATATACACGTTTTATGTACTCATTTGGAGAAGTAATGGCCCGATATTATGTTGGAAGCAAAGAAGTACAGGATTTAATTCACTCAAATCAGAGGTTCGATGCCGTTATGTTTGAATCTTATTTCTATCAGGAGTATTTGTCAGGATTTATCCACAAGTTTGATGCTATTGCTATAGAAGTAATAACTCTAGGTAAGCATATCGTTACTAAAATACATTAAAAACAAAATCGAATACAATCAGATACTTTTTTGTTAATAATAAATAGTTCGAAGTGTTAAATTTGTATTTAGAATAACTTGATTGAATGTTATTGTTTTCCGTAAAAACATTATGAAATGTATGATGAAAATTATTTTTTAAATGGATTTGTTCAATTCATTGTGGACAGTAAAAGACTGTTGTAATCTTATTTCCTTAGCCACATTTAGCCTTTATTTTGTGACAGATATATGGAATAAATTTTGACTTTCCAGTCAAAGAAAATATGGGCAACATAAAGAGTAAGGAAAGTGAGTTCAACACATAAGGACTTAAAAAATTGCTTACTTATTTCTAAGAAAATTTGAATACTTATATGGCCATATTTGGATGTTTTATGTTATTTTACTTTAACAGGAGTGAACATAGTTCACGAATTACAAAAAAAGTTACCTAGAAGATATATTTTCAATTTGAAAAAGAAGCAAAATAATAAATATAGATGTAATGAAGATATACACGTAGTACATAATTTCAATATACATATATATATCTTCGATACAATATCAAGCTATCGAATCTGCAAATCACCACTCTAATATCATTATCAATTCAGCCCAAAAAATAAAGTTATTTTAATTTTCACACTAATCCACTGAATGCTTATTGCCTTCGAGTGTTGTATATTGTGTTAATAATCAATAAAAACTTTATATTATCAAAAAAAAATACTTTTATGAATATTTGAAGATTTCTTAATCGCTGTTTGAAAATATTTAATTGTCATTACTATTCCTTAAATGCATGATTGAAAAAATGGCAATTCTTCATATTTGATAGTTTGCAATTGTATCGGATATTTATATAAAACAATACATAGTAACATATAAATTTGATTTAAACAAAATAATATTATGTAGTATTTTCTTTAACTACTGTATGGCTATTTGTATGTATGTGTACATTTTGGTTGGTATATTGCATACATTTAATATTTTTTAAATAGGTGATTGTGCCTGGGTGAACGAAATGTCGGGCCTACCAGATAACCCTGCCTACCAAGTTGACTTCAAATCGGGCCTCTCCAGCAATATGAACTTTTTGCAGAAACTGTACAACGTCTATGTTACTACTTCAACTGTCCTAAGCAGTTACTTCTACTTATATTACAACCAGAAGCCGATCATGGACCGGTACTTTAACTACACCGGGTGGGAGAGCCGTCCATCCATCGATGTTCTTGCCAGGAACAGGAGTTTAATCCTGACTAATTTCGACCAAGTGTTCGCCGATACTTATCCAATGGCTCCACACCGCAAAGACATCGGTGGAATAAATATTAAAACGCCGAAACCGCTCCCAGAGGTAATTAATTACCAATATCTTTTTATTATCCGGTATTGTGAATAAATACATTTTTATTTATACTGAAAGGAACGGAATTTTTAGTTAATTTAACTAAAATTATGATGTCTTTTATTAAGAAAAAGAAATCAAAATACTTTGATATATTTGTAAAAATTCTGGTATATTATAGAATAGTTGCTTATTCTAAATAAGGATTTTAATTATACATTTTAGTTAATTTAACTAAACTTATGATGTCTTTTATTAAGAAAAAAAAAATCAAAATACTTTTATATATTTGTAAAAATTCTGGTATATTATGGAATAGTTGCTTATTCTAAATAAGGATTTCAATCATACATTTTACATATGAAATACCTCTATTGTTCATTCACTAGCGATAGGCAAGGTTTGGTATTATTGGTGTATGTCAAAAAATGCTATGGTGACCCTGACAGGTATTTCTTTTTTAATATTTACAAAATACAAAGAAAATAAGAACACAAAAAAAAATTGTTACCGACTAAATGAGATTGAACCTTGTAGAAAATCTGCACCGTCATAGAAAAGTCTCGAATGGCATCTATAAGTAGAAAAAAAAAACTTTAAATGAATTGTTTGGAAAAAAAAACAAAGCAGGTTTCACAATTGTTGTTAGAAGGGGAAATTAGTTAATCTCAATATTAGAAGGTGTTTGGCCATTTTACAATTAATTCTTCTTCCTCTGATCTATTTCAAGTACTTTTCAATTTGAAAAAATTAAACATAAGTGGTTTTCTATACATAAATGTGAAAGAAATTTCAAAAGCACTAATGCCGTAAAAAACGGACTATTAATTTATAGTCCGTGGTACAGGTCCCAAATTTTATTTTATTTTATTTTTTTATTAACAGCTGACTGAAACTTCGTAAAAAGCTTTATTCCATCTTAACTTACAAATACTTTTACGAAAATTCTCGGAATTGGGGCGTTTTCAATATGGAGGTTGGCTAACTTTGTCTATTTAATTAGGTACTAAAAACCCGTTAATACCTTTTTACTTTTTACTTTTATCGTAAGACAACTTGACCACAAAGTCGAGAAAAAAGGTGGCCTTTTTGAAAAAATATTGACCCGTTTGGATTGACCTGCACCCCAAAATTGTCAAAATAACGAGGTTATATAGGCCAAACCGCTCAATATTTTCGAAAGCCGCCTTTTTTCTGGACTTTTTGCTCAAGTTATCCTACGATTAAAGTGAAAAGCAAATAGATAGTTACGAGTTTTTAGTATCTAATAAAATAAGTAAAGTTTGCCGAATTCCATTTTGAAAATGTTCCAATTCTGTGAATTTTCGCATATAAAATATTTGTAGGTTACGATGAAATGAAGCTATTAACAAAGTTTCAGCCGGATGCTAATAATCTGATAAAAAGGGGTCTGTACCACGGACTATTTTGGATATGGTTAAATGTGTTCTTCATGTACTTGTAGACATTTTCATATTTAGTTCTTTTAATTTGCAGGACATGGATAAATTCATGAATGACAGTGAGCATGGAGTGATTTACATGTCTTTGGGATCTCACATAAGTCCTGCGAACTTCAAAGATGAAATGAGGGCCTTCTTTGATGTCTTTAGAGATCTGCCCCAAAGGGTAATGTTGAAATACGATTCAGAAGAAGACAGCCAAATACCACCTAACGTAAAAGTATCCAAGTGGTTTCCCCAGCAGGATATACTAGGTAAGATTATTTTATTTATTATTTAAGTATATTCGTAATATAGTTTGTTTGAATCTTATAATCACGAAATTAGTTAAATAAATATAACATCCGCTTGTAAATTCGTAAATATCTTTTTCTGATCGTAACCTACAAATAGTTTATTTACGAAAATTTTTGGCATTGGGACGTTTTCAATCTGGAGATTGGCAAACTTTGTTTAATTAATTAGGTACTAAGAACATATGAAAACCCATTTGCTTTCCAATTAAATTTTAAGATAGTATGATCAAAACGTAGAAAAAAACAGGTAGCCTACAAAAAATATTGGTCCGTTTGGCGACCTACACCCAAAAGTTAAAATAAGGAAGTTACATAGGCCCATTGATTTTGTAGGCTATCTTTTTTTTCCATTTTTTAATCATATTATCTTACGATTCAAGTGGATAACTTGAGTAAAAAGTCGAGAAAAGATGTGGCTTTCAAAAACAATGAGGCGTTTGGCCTATATAACCTTGTTATTTTGACAATTTGGGGCTGTAGGTCACGCCAAACGGGTCAATATTTTTGAGGGCCACCTTTTTTCTCGACATTGTGCTCAAGTTTTCTTATGATTACAATTAAAAGCAAATAGGTATTTACTAATTTTAGTATCTAATCAAATCGAAAAAGTTTGCCGATCTCCAGATTGAAAATTTTCCAATTCTGACCATTTTCGTAAATAAAATATTTGTAAGTTACGATCAGATGTAGCTACTTACGATATTTCAAGGGAATGTTCATAAGTTGATGAAAAGGGGTCTGTATTAAGGACTGCTTTTTTTTTTTTTTTTTTTTAACTTTCTTTATTGAATATTAATACATTCTGCCACATTGAAGGGCATTAATATTAAGGCTACATGATTCATTCACACAATATGTACATACAATTAATATCAATAATAAAGAAAAAGAAATATAAAAAAAATAAAATAAGTAAATTGGTATGCCTGTGTACAAAAAAAAAAAGAAATAATAGATAAAAGCTAGATGAAATTAAATAAATAAATCACATTCACACCTATGTACAATATTTACATTCACCCAGGGACTCTGAGTCATGCCTTATTCCCCGACGTGGAAGCCAAGGCAGGACTCCAGGAGATCCCAGTGCTTCTCTCTCAGCCGCGTCACTGTTATTTGAAACCAGTGGAAACTGATGGAGGGCACTATAGCAACAGACGCTCATGTCTTGAGTGGAAATCTGGCCATTGCCAGTACTCCAATATATACATATTTACAAAAGGTCGCGGGGCCACTGCCGTTTTAACCTCCGGGAGGATTGTAGGGATGGCTGGAGCTAGATATGGATTGTGCTACAGGATTTGGATGATGAGTGAGTTTCTGGTGAAATTTGGAAAAATTTTCTGGGATTAGGTCAATAACAAATGGGATATGAAGGTCATTACGGAGGGTTTTGTTGGATACATAGAAGGGAGCATCGACTATTGTTCGGAGGATTTTAGACTGGAAGGATTGAATGTGTTTGATGTTAGAAAGTTTTACTGTCCCCCACAGTTCTATTCCGTAGGTCCAAATAGATTTCAGGATTGTCTTGTAGATTAATAGTTTGTTGTCGACTGAAAGTTGAGATTTTCTATTCAATGGTCTATATAGTTGTCCGTATCGTCTGTTAAGTTGTTGTCTTTTAAGTCTGGTGTGTGGGTTCCATGTTAGTCTTTTATCTAGAATAAAGCCAAGATACCGGACTGTGTTGGACAGAGGAAGTGGTATGGAGTTGAAGTAGACTGGTGGACAGGAATTGCGTCGAAGGGTAAAAGTAATATGTTTGAATTTGGAATAATTTACTTGGATTCGCCACTTATTACACCAGTGTTCAATAAGAGAGAGGTGACTTTGTAGGTTTAAGGATGCTATTTCAATATCTGGGTTGGAAGATAGAGGACGGGACCCAAGACGCTGCCTTGAGGAACTCCCGCCTTGATTGAATGACAGTTGGAGAATTCTGTGCCATAGCGAACTTGAAAGGAGCGGTCAGAGAGGTAGGATCGGAGGATAAGATATAAGGAAAGGGGTAGATGGGATTTGAGCTTGAAGAGCAGAAGGACTGTATTATAAATATTTATTTAAATTCTATTTGTTCTATCTGTAATATTGAAATTTAAGTTTTTTTTCACGCCAGTTATCTTTAGGAACCGGGTAATTGATTTTATCGTGAAACCTGTTAGCAAACACTCACTTTTGTTATTTGTTCAAATTTTTCTACAGACCAGGCTTTTGATAAAACGAATGCTAAAATAGATCCAATTCTGAAATACGGCAGCTTGGCTACAACGCTTACCTGCTCCTTAAAAATAAGTATTGAAAGATTTGAGAGAAAAATACTCTAAACTAATTAAATTTCATTTTAATAATTTGTTTTCTAGCTCATAAGAAGTGCGTTCTTTTTATTACACACGGAGGTTTATTGAGCCTATCAGAAGCCATATACTACGGTGTCCCTCTCATCGGGATCCCTATTATTGCAGACCAGGGCAAGAACATGGCAATGATGGAGTCAAAAGGAATTGGAAGGATGCTGAATTTGAATAATATCACTCGAGATACGGCCTCATGGGCTATTCGTGAAGTGCTCTCAAACAATCGGTAAGAATTTTAATTCTAAACATATTCCTATCTAGTTTTTACTCATGGTCCAAATTGTTTTCAATAATACGGCCTATCTGTCAGTTAAAACGTTTATATTTAGTTATTTTGGATCCAATGTTTCCTTCTGGAGATAAGTGGAGTTAGACCAGAAAAAATAAGAATGTTTAAATATTGTCTTAAAACGGCACTCTCGATTAAATAAAATTCGATTATGTAAATTATTCATATGGTTTCATCCAGTATGAATTACTCCTTCCCTCCCTCTTCCCTACAGTGATTTCTAGACTTAGTGAGGTAAACAACTATAGAGGAGTACAAAATGTGCTATACCAACAAATGAGATTTTATACTCCATATCTAATAATTAATTCATTTCACTAATTAATAGATTAATTCATAAGATGTATCCACTCTGAAAAGTAAATTTGGAAGTCCACGTCCGCTCGGACACCTCTAAAAATATAGAGGATGTATCAATTGATTATAAATAATCATGAGCAGACAGTCCGCTAGTATGTTTCAAAAGTTTATTATTAACATAAAAATAACCACTTTCTTGATAATAATATTATGTCTTTCTTCAGTTATAGGGAAGAAGTTCTCCGAAGATCAAAAATTCTAAAAGACAAGAGGTATACGCCAGTGGAAGAAGCAGTTTACTGGATCGAACATACTCTCAAATACCCGTTCACATTAACCCCTAAATCATTGGGTCTTACAGCCACTGAATTACATCTGCTCGACGTAAAGATCTTTGTAACATTAGGACTACTCTTAGTATTATTTATGATTTACTTTTTTACAAATCTTATAAAAAATATTGTACTTAAAACAAGAAGGAAACCAAAACAAAAAGTTCAATAATGAAAAATAAATTTAAATTATTTATTAATATATGTGGTTTATTTTTTTACATTTGCATCTCCAAATGAAATGCAGACCTACGTGCATTTAATCGATTTTATGTAACACTGCAAGAGAGTATTGATATCTTCAACCAACACTTTATACGGCATCAGTAAACAAATAAAAATTAAAAAATTAAATAAAAAATAATACCAACCAATAACGAAGTGATCTGTTTAGGGATCAGTGGTTACCAGAGCCATATTTTAGTTTCACATTCCCACGATGCCAAGAGAGGTGTTTCATAGCACAATTTGGACCATCAAAATACATTTTGAGGAAGACACATTTTGACGATACAAGTGTATTTTAAGGCCGTCCCTCCTTTATAGAACTCCTCTCCTAACTAACATATCACCGGCAGCAGCGAAGAAGCTCTAACTGTTTCAGAACAATGTGCTGAGAAAAATAGTGAGTCACACGACTTTACAAAAACACGTACGGATCTATCTCCGAATTACGGAAGGTGGGCGAATAAACAGAGGGCGAAGACAGACATGTAAAATTCTTTGATAGTCTTAAATACTCGACGAACCCCACTTTTCAAAACATTTACTCACACAACTATGAGATGGCAGACATAAATTAAAAACTTATTACTCGGCTGAGAAAATTGACATTTACAGGACATTAGTGAGCCCCGTCACTAAACTAAGACACACGATAACTATGAATAACCACAGTACACCCAATTCCTCATCCTCCTCTTAAAATGCATCCTGTGCAGTCCAACGGGCCATGTTTAAGCCTCGCCCTGCCACTCTGTTCTCAACACCACACGCTAAGGGGTTAAGAAAAAAAAACAATTTTATGTTTTAAGGAATCAATTTATATCGGAGCATATAAATTAGGACCATCCCTCCTTTATGGAGCACCTCTCCTAACTAACATATCACCGGCAACAGCGAAGAGGCTCCAACTGTTTCAGAACGGTGTTATTAACATTAACCAAAAAATTTGGAAAATTTTTTTATATGAAGTTGATGAATATTAAGGCCGTCCGCACAGTTGAGCGATTTAAGGACGCTGCGAGCATTTAGTTATTTAAAATTAATTTAAAAAAAAATAATACAATCATCTGTCAAATATTTTGGACTATGGATCCTCAAATAATTTACGAAACAAGCGACCGATCTATACAATACAATCTGAGACCTGTTTGGACCAATGAAGCATAACTCTGCGGTTTTATAGAATATGTACAGATAAACCTAGTAAGTGAAAGTTGTGTAATACATGCACAAGATATTTTCTTCTCACAATGCATTTATTGTTAAAATAAAATTCTTCAGTGAAAATATGAAAATATATGTTGGGGCCAGGGGTACTTGAAGTACAGATCTTTCCCTGGTACGTTTCCTCAATAGTGGGGAAAATTCGAGCAAAATCAAAAATTTTGGGAAAGAGGGAAAAAAGGAAGAATAAAATGAGACCTGTAAAACATAAAAAATGTGCATGAACAAGAAAATATTTTTAAAAAAATATTTCAATAAATAAAAAATGGAAAATGAAAAAATCCCCTTTTGAATGTTTACAATTTATTGAGATAAAAAAAAAAGATCTAATTAAGTACAAAAGTTAAAATAAATATTGGTGTAAAGTTGCGAGAAAAATAAAACATAAATATAATATGCAGAGAAAATAAAAACAAATTAACATAAGGGAAAACATATATAAATAAACCCAACTTTTAAAATTATAAACAAAATCAAGCGAAAGAAAAATAACTGTCCAAAATAACAAAACTAATTTATTGAGAGAATCGAAAACTAACTAATGTTCAATGTCTTGGTGAGAATAAAACAAAAATACGAGCCAGGTTAGAGGTTCTGCTTCCAACCCGGTGGTTACCTTCTACGATGTAAGTCTATAGTGGGAAAGTATCGAGTCGATAGCCTATCGATTTCGATCGATTACTCAACTGCGCCCAACAGCTGATCTTCGAAAATGGCGCTGGTGAGGTGAACGAGACGAGACGGCCTGGAGCTTGGTGAAAATGGTGGAGGTAGACGTCCACTCTGAACGAAAGACAGCTCCAGACTCCCTTCCGGCCGTATTTTGTTGTCTTAATCCCAAAGACAGGGCATCACTGCCGGGCTGGTGCGTATATACAGCGCGATAATACATCGCAAAATAACCCAAGCTATAAACAATGAACAACTCTGGGACAATTATCCCTCAGGTTTTACCAAAAAAAAAAAAAAAAAATCATTTTCTTCATTAACATTTAAAAGGGTAAATATGGTGAGAGAAATAACAATAAAAAAACAAAGATACGAGTGTATGCGGTGTCAGCATATACTATACAACGAATCAAAAGAAACTAATGTTGATTGATCTAATCTGATCTGTAACATCAATTGCATCAGCATTCTGAAACATTTTATTCTTATTTTCGAATGAATAATTCTAATGTTGATTACACTGAACTAGAATTGAACCGAGACTTGTGAAAATGTGGTCTAATTTCAAATTGATGCAGAATCATTTCTCATCCTGATTCCTTTTAGCATGTATGAGGCGTTGTCATTACTTGTCCCACTTTTGTTTGTTATTACTTATCCCGATTGAGGTCTAGTGTTCAAAAACCAACCAAATACACATATAATTATATCATTAATTATGAATTCTGAATCTGTATTATCATGAGGTCAAATAATTTATTTCAAAGGTAGGTAAATAAACCTTATTAAATTTAATTTTTGGAGAAAATTCTTTAACTATAACCAAAATTATTGATTCCAAAATGAATTCAAGCAGAGACTTCAGAGCAGAGATTTTTTTTCAGTTTGATTAATTTTCAGTAATGGGTTGATTCAGTTGGGAAGGCATTGACTTCTAACCTAAAGGTCCTGATTTCAAATCCTGTTGATGGCAAGTAATTATTTATTCTGTTTCATGCTCCATTGATTGAACCACCTCTATAAAGAGCGTACTCTTAATTAAATAATTAGTCAATGGGGAAAACTTTGCTGTTGAACGTGATCCCGGCCCGATCACATCCTTACACAACCGTTGGCCTTGAAAGAGTACTTCCTGAAACTAAGATATTTCATGGGCATAGTAGTATAGATTTTTTTTTTTTTTTTTGTCTACTTGAAGCTTAGAACGATGTATTTGTAATCACAAAAAATAATAATAATATAATTTATTCATATTACAAACAATAACGTATTTCTTTCTCTTCCTTTTTAAGTGACTAATCATTGTTTCATAATGTCAAAATGTTGAATATTTTGTTTCATAATAGTTGAGATAAAAATGGACAGTAAAATTAACAAAAAGTAATCACCAGATTTGTATTTAAATAATAAATAACCTTGAGACAGTTATCAGATTTTTTTTTTAATTTCAGCTGTTAGGAGTTTATGTAAAATATTCAATACTTATTTTAATAACTGCCAAGTTACTAAGTGTGGCCTCAAGTCGTAGTATTTTGCTAGTTGTTCCTAATACGCCAACAATCATCCTTAATCAAATAAACTGTTTCGGTCAAATCTATCCTGGCGAGTCAGTTGATATCAACACTGCTAACAGATAACTCCTTATTTTTAGTGGTTTCATATTACTATTTTACAGCAATACGTAAGTAATTTTTCTGAATATATTTCAGTTTTTTATTCCTTTTCGACGAATTTGCAATCTTTTGGTATTTTCTGACAAAACATCATTTACCTCAACTTTTCTTTTCATGATCTAGCAAATATAAGTACTATTCATTTTAAATTTGATTTCATTCCACAAGTTTTTTTTTTTTGCTGCAAGGTCAATTTCACAATGTATAATTTCTATAGTTTTTTATAATATGTTGCTTATTTTTTTGTTTTTCATTAGATAATAGACATCAGCGGTTATTGAATTTACGGTTATTGATTTTTTATATTTTAATGACTCAGAGATCCCTATAACATTACGACTGAGAAGTTGTCCATTCTGTCCCTATCTATATTCAAATTATCTCAAATCATATGTTTTATATGAATATGTGTTTTGTTTTTCTGTTCAATATGTTCATTTCCCTGAGTAAATTTTATAAAGTGTTCTTTTAAAGACAGGTGATTTTATCAGATTTGATTATTTCAGACATAACGACTTTAGCTAAGAGGTAAATTTCAGATATCATAGAATCCCATGCACGATTGCAATCATTGTAAATAAAAATACAAAAAATCTTCATTTCACTAAGTTTGGATGAAAAATACAGAAAACAAGTTGTAGGAAACAATGTCTGCAAAATTATTATTGAATATTATTATAGCTTCTTCCAACTAATATATATATATTTTTAAATAATCCTTTAAAATACTGAATAATTTATAAATCAATAACCTACAAAACCATTTTCAGTCGCGGTTCTTGTAGAAATTTTGTAGGGACAGTGTCAAAACGAGATACATTTGTCTATAAATTTCACACAGAATTATACAGCTATACATCTTAATACTTTTTTTCTTAATCTACTATTTTATTTAGAAATAATGAATAACGTTTTAATTTTACACTTAGTAACTCGTTCTACAGAATTGAACTTGATTTAACGAGAATAAAGTTGTCATGAGAACAATAACAGATAAGTTAAAAAGGTGCGAAATTTGTTTTTGTTTTTAAAACTGTCTTAGGAATTCAACCTCCAACTAAAGATAAAAAATATTTGTAAACAATTGAACCATATATCCATACTATGCTCTTTGTGATGTCAGGAAATCACTTCAGGAAACAAATGATGCTTTGTTGTTAAACTTTTACCACAAAAACACAAAACACTTTTATTCCTCTACATAAACATCACACTATCAGGAACAAAGGACTACTAGTCTGTGGGTAACTTCGCCCAAGCCAACCTGCTTTGTTTACAACAGCTGAGCAGTGCTGTCAGATAACATACATTAACTCAACACACTCCCATTTTTGCAATTTATTCCAGTTTTGGAAAACTTCTTTAGAGGACAATGAAGAACTATTCGCACCAC